AATTCACGACAAAATTTTGTTAATTTGTAGATTCGAAAGTTTCTGAACTTCATTGTGATGTACTATTATAGTAGAACATTATTTATGTGAATTATGATTTCCATAGAATGTCACAAGATATGTCACAACCGATCACTGCGGATATTTGTGTAAATTTCTATTTGGATAGATAATTTTGTCTAAGAAATATCTAAAAAATAATATATATTTTAGATTTATATTTGAACTATATTTTATATATTTTACACATTTTTAGATGACATACTTATTTAATAAATATAATATTATATTTTAATACTTTTAATTATTATTAATATTCATATTTAATATAAATATAGCGTAATATGTGTCATTTTTTTGATGGAATAAGTATTTGAAAATAAAATATTATTTTGTTTTTTATTGTGTCAACTTCGTCGACGAAGTTAAAGACAATTACACGGTATTAAAACTATGTATATTTTAGCTTCAATCATAATAATGAAACTTCTGTAATTATATAATATCTTTCAAAATCTATCTTTCGACAGAAAAATCCACCTTTTGAATTCTTTAATATTCGTATTACTCTCGTACACTTCTCTTGCGTTGTTATTCTAACTTCGATCTCTTTATCAGGGTTTCGGTACATCCGGTGTCTCTTCAATATCATCCATTACCTTCAACCAATCCGAAAACACCGGCACTCGAACTGGCATTCCATCTGCCAAATCGAATTTATTGCCATCGTGAACATTATCCAGCGAAATTTCTTGCTTCCTCGATGCCACGTTCTCCGTCTCATCCTCCATCGACGACTTCTTCATTCCAAACTCTGCAAACTGATTACTACTTTCTTTTAGCGATCGATTCTCGAATACGCTACACGGCGAAATATTGTTAAGAACTAGAGGTTTGCCAGCAACGTTCGAAACAACAGCTCCGTCGTTTCTCGAAATCGCAAGTTGCTGCCGCGAAACGGGAGTACGCGTGGCGCTAGGACAATCCAAAGTAAAACTCGTGGGTGTTTGAACGAAGTTTGGGTCCTTGGCGACAATTTCTGGCTTCCTCTCGTCTACTTCGCCAATTGATTTTGTTGAAACTCTATGAAACGTATCGCCAGATAATTCCACGATGCCCTCGTCGTTCGTGTTAGCCAATGTGATACTCAGGGATGGTCTCACGTTGTGCGATTCAAAAGCTTCAGTGTTCCCATCCTGATGCTCGCACAATGGTATTCCGACATCAGGCAGACAGTTATGAGCGACTAAGGTAGCAGTAACTGGAGCATTCAGAACTTTGGTTACGTAAATCTGTTTTCGTTTGGTCAGTTTTTCCAAATGCGGAAGGTGTCTCTCCTCCCTGACGTTCGTTTCCTGTTCTTCCGTCAATGTAGATGTCCTTCGACTCGATTCCACTGATCTCTCTTCGAGGGATTCTTCAGAGGGTTGCAGTTGCTCCCGAGGAAAGGAAACGACGATTTCCGGAGATTCGAATTTGCTTAGAACTTCCTGTTCGAGCGACTTCGACTGCACGTCGGTCAACATCGAGTATCCCTCTTCTTCTTCTTCTTTCAATCGCTTGCCGGTGACACGCTCGTACTCCGTTTGAAATTTTTGCAGGCCTTCCAGACACAACGATACACTCCTCGCGGGTTTCATGCAAACTGGTTGACGCCATCGAACGATCTCCACTATCTGAACTTCTTCTGTCGTCTGAGGTTGATCACCGTGCCAAAAGAATCGGTTCAGGTCCAATGCATCGGCATCGAAAAGTATTGTTAGAAATATCGTCGATGAGATTGTGAACTTCATGGCGAGAGAACTCTTTGCAAGAAATTTAAAACAGACGCTTGTCTGATCTTTAGCAAACACGAAGTCGAGCTTCACAGATTTCGAGAGAGTAGCAAGTCTCGTTCACAAGACTCTCGATGGTAGTAGACTGAGATGCGTTTTCGACTAGAATTCCCTATTTATAGATGAAGAAGCAATAGAATCTTTATGGAAAATGCCGGACGGTATCTCCATTTTCTCGACCAGAAACCAAGAATGCCTTTTCGTCGACGATGTTTCAGGCGATTAGCAGGGCCGACGAATACACTTGAGTTGAAACCGATTCCGTTGCACTTAAGAGGGGCCACTAACGTCGCGTTAATTGCCCTTAAGGGTCGCACGGGGTCTGTGTGTTGCTGTGTTGGGAGTTTCCGAAGTGGACGAGTTAATTGCCGGGTTGGTACATGCTAGCTAATGTGAAGATGCATTTCTGAGATGCTTCTTTCACCATGGTCGTCCTTATATTACGCTTGATTGCATGTATATTTGCGTTTGAGAATAATACTTGTGGAAAATGAACTCCGTGTTTAATGAACTCAAAATGGATAGAGACAAATTAATATGCTTTTTTCATTAAAACTCTCTCTCTCTCTCTCTCTCTCTCTCTCTCTCTAGTAGCTCCTGCTTGTTTTGTATCAGAAGCAGCAAGATCTATTAAATTCAATTGTGATACTTGTATCACAGCACTATCCGAGTCTTCTCCAACTTCTCTATTTTCAATTGTCTGAATAGAAAATTTATATTAGAATGCTACATTTAAACGTAAATGTAATATATAGT